GGGTCACACACAGAGGATAATTTAAGAGCCAGGAAGTTAGAAGGGCGTTTTCATCTTTTTTGGTGAAAGGGTATTTTGGTAGTTTCATAGTGCAATTAAATTTGCTGAGGTCGTACCCTTTATTTAATTTGTTAGAAAAATTAAATAAGTGAAATTACGTTTAAATATGTGTTTGCATATATTTAAGTAAATTATCATTATTATTTTTTTAAATGTTAATATATATTAATTGATTTTTAATTAAGATAATGATGAACTAAAATAAATAACTAATTGGGAGTGTTTGGAAACAAGGGGTGTTTGGGTTGGAGCCCAAGCCCATCCATATAGGAATATGACGATTAAAAGATCACTATAAAAGAAAAGGTTTCATTGAAAAAGTTAAGATATTATTCATTCGTTACTTTTTCATTGAAAACAAAACCCTCCAGCCCCAAATACTCTCTCCCACGCCACTTTTATTTTTGATTGAAAAATCAAATACTCCTCATTTCTTCTTTGTTCTTAAGGCTAAAGAGGATCTAGTAAATCTCTCTTTAGTTCATTGCGATTATCTTTGTGTGGACTACATCGGTTCGATCCTACACTTGGGTTGGTAGCAAATACATTCAGAGACAAATTTGGAGGAGCCTCCAAACGTACGTATGATTCCTTAAACCTTGAAAAGATTTTTCTACAGATTTAATATATATATTGTATAAACTGTGATTTTTGTACCCAGACCTTGGTTCTAAGGAACGATCCATGTAGTTTATTTTTTTTGTTTTCCGCCGCGTAACTGGGTCGTTCACTAATACAATAAAGTAAGGGTGGCGTGAGACTTGGGATAGGGCTGTGTGGGTTTTTCTTTTCTTTCAAAGAAAATTATTGAATGAATTCCTTACTTTAATTCACATAACATTGCACTTATATAGTGCACATAAAACCCTATTTCAATAAGGAAAATGCTTGGGCTTCAACCCAAATAGCCTCTATATCCAAACACTCCCAATCATGATATTTTAATTATAATTATTATTATTTTCAATTAAACTCAATTAATGTATTTATAGAAATACATTAATATTTAATTAATAATAATAATCCATTTAAATACATGTGTACATATATTTAAATATAATCTCACTTATTTAATTTTAATATCAAATTAATCTCAGCAAATTTAATTGCACTACAAGATTACCAAAATACCATTTTGCCCTAAAAGACAAAAACGCCTCTTGCACAAACCGATTCTTAAATTATCTTCTATGTGTGTGACCCATAGCCTCCTTATCATACTAGCAGTGTGTAGTATCACGATTAACACCAATTAATCGTCTCACTACACACAGACTAAGATTGGCCCCTAGCAAGACATCATGGCCACCTGATAGATTCAGATTCAGCGAAGCAGCTACCTGTCAACGATATTGTTACCCTGCAATCTGATCCTTTCATCATCTGTTATCTCATCGAGATAGAGGTACATAAATAGTGTCAACCTTAGTTACTCTTGATATGTATGTATTCAATTACTGGACCAATGATCGCAATAATAAGTTAGATTGAGCAACAACTCAATCCCACTATGGCCAGAATTTTAGTGTCATTGCCATTCACTAAATTGCATCGTGAGATAACTTCTCCCATACCCAAGAGTGATGAATCCTCTGTCGATCCACCATAGTCTTGATACACTCCTTGATGTAGCCAATCAATACCGTATTGATAGCTCTGAATAGAACTGCGTTGGGCTAGTGTCAAACTACGCCAATTGGTGCATAAGACGCTCCAGTGATCTCAAGTCTAAGGATCACATGCACCACCATTCATTATAGGGTTTATTCTATAGACACTAGGGTTACCATCTATATGGAATCCTCTGGTGGGCCAGTCTAGTGAACTTGCTTACAACAAGCACCCATGTGTTGCACTAGGTTGTCACCCAACAACCTTGACAAGTGAGATTTGTTACTGCCTTTCGATAGGGTCGTTCAACACTATGATAGCCTCACCATATTATCTATGCCCTTGATCAAAATAATATTGAGGCTACGGACGTTTCTAGAATGACCACTATATGTGTTCATAGGGTTCTCACTATCAAGATTTGAAACACTTGATACCCTCGTCACGGTTCTACCATTCTAAAGACATATATCAATACATATAAATATGATTTACATGATATAGAATAAAAGATGCCTTTTATTGATCAATGAACATTATTACAAAGAGTCAATTCTACAATAATTGATTGGATCTAAGGCACCTACTCTAACAAGGTCATCCCAAAACGACCTAGGTACCCACTCCAACTGGGTGCTTGATGGTCTAGAAGGTGATCAAGGAGATCACCCATCATCATTTGAGAGGTCCTTAATTTTGTCGCCAGCGTCAGAAGGATCGACCTCCTTAATCACAATGCCCCTTATTTTCATTGCCAACGCTGCTTACAAAGATGTTCTAACATCTCTCGCACCCCGCTTTGGCTTTTTTATTAGCAGGGTAGGAGAGCCAGATGTCGAATCCTCAGATCGCTTATAAACGACCTAGAGAGTTGAGAGTTCAAAGGAAGGGTCACCGCGGGATTAGTTGCTTCAGCAATGAAGGTTGTAGTGGCCTTAGCACCCTGGCTCAGAACATCTACTCATATAGTGATTATCTACAATTCTTGCTTATGGATGCATTTGTTAATGTAGGTGCTGTTAGAGAAGGTGTCCTAAAGCCAATCAATTATTGTAAAATTGACTTTATAATAAATGTTTATTTATCAATAAAAAAGGTATATTCTTCTATATCATGTAAATCGTATTTATATGTAATGATATATGTCCTTAGGATGGTAGAACTATGACAAGGATATCAAGTGTTTCAAATCTTGATAGTGAGAACGAATGTTTTAAAACTCGGCTCGGCTCGGCCCGACCGGTTGAACTGGTTCAACCGGGACCCGACTGGTGAGCTGGGCCGGGTGAGGCTCAAAACCGTTTATATCAGTCTGCCCATTTACACCCGCGGTTGGACCGGTGCACTGTAGCACCCGCTGGTCCAACCATTATTTTAAAAAAATCTGGGTCAACTAATTTATAAAATTATAATTATATAAAAATATAAGAATAATAAATTATATATTGAACTGAACAGTAAAAGCCCCTTATCCAAAGCAAATATCAGCATTTTGTCATTTTCCCCCTATTTTCATGGCATTTCCCACCCTTTGGTCTGAAAATCTAAAAATAACCGCCAGAGTCTCCCCTTCATCATCGAATCTCGTCACTACAGCCTTCATCGTCAACTGCTTACTTAGTCGTCAACTAGGGTACCGCAAATCTCCTCCCATTTCACGATCTTTTCTGTCCTCACACACTCTTCTTCACTGTTGATCTATTCTGTTCATCCATTCTCGTTAATCTTCTCGGAGCTGCATAGTCGATCTCGTCTTCTTCTTGCCTAGGAACTGTCGCCTCTTCCCATCACATTGCTTGAATCTCAGCTCTTCATAGTTGCGCTGTTCACAGCCGAGCTCTACCTCCCTGACAATCAACTCAACTGTCAATGCCTCAACAGTAGCTCATCTTCACCAGCACCAGGTAACTGTCACGGTGTCACCTTACTAATGTACATTCCACTATTCCAGTAGATTGTATATGGATCATAGATGCCATGTATATAGATCATAGATGCCATTACATTTTAATAATTTGATTCAATTACATTTTAATAATAAAAGCTATTAAATAATTGAGGTAATCTATGGTGGATTTCAATTAAATTGTGGCCGTACTACTTTGTTGACATCAATTGTTTGGGAGTTTGGGCTAGAATTGGGTTATTCAAACCTTTGAGGGTGGGTGATACTGTTTGAATACGGGTTGAGAATCTAGCTAATAGGTAGGTTTTCCGACCGATGCTCAAGTTAGCTTAGTATCTCTTGTACTTGGATTTTAGGGATAAATGCTGATTTTTATTATAGGAAAAGAAAATATTTTGGATGAATATTCATAGAGCAATGGGTTACTCTTTGGGTGTTGTACCTTCTTTGACACTAGACACGTCTTCAAGAGGAGTGTAGGTTAATGATCCATTTAACATTTATAATATGTATTGCGTTTGTATCTTTGTGATTGATATACTCATAAAATGAAATGGTTATGAATATGATAAAGTATTACTATGATAATGATAATAATTATTTTTATAAACTATCAAACAAGATAAAACACATAACCATCCAACAACTCTGTTTTTATGAAACAAACACTTGTTACATATCTCTTATTGACAAAGTTTTCAATGTGTTTCATATAATCCAAAAAGGGTCACTTGTAGTCTTACAATGTGTAGCCATATTAATTGAGATTTTGATATATTTACCACTTTTGAGTTATTTACAATGCATGAGTATTTGGTTGATTGAGGGTAATTGCCACAATGCATGATTATGTAGTAAGAAGGGTTAATTATTAATTATTACTAACTTATTTGTTATTTGTCAACAATCTACTTCCATGGATGTTTCACAATCTTTTCGAGGAAGAAATGATATAGCATGGGGACATGTTAATGAGAGTGTGGATGAAAATGGGAAGAAGATATTAACATGTCTTTACTGTGAAAAGATAATCAGAGGTGGAGGAATTTATTGAGTGAAATTGCATCTAGCGGGTATAAAGGGAGAAGTTGGAAAGTGCTGTAAAGTTCCTTTCTATGTTAAATTCAAGATTGAAGAAGCATTAAATGAAATTGGGGCCAAGAATAAACAAAAAGTTGAACTTCGTAAGAATGTCAATCCTTATGGAGCTAGTGTACAACAATTTGAGGGTGATATGTTAGATGAAGATCAAGAGTATGAAAAGGTTTCTCCATGTCCAACTCCATCTCCAACTTCAACTTCAAGCACTAAGAGAAAAAGATCTATCGGGATAGGTGACTATTTTGCTCCGAGGTCTAAGTCTGGGCCTTAACCCTCAATTAAGAGCGTTTTAGCCGGAAAAGAAGCTAAGTGGAAAGCGGACATGGCTGTTGCAAGGTTATTTTATGATTCTTGCATCCCAACTAATGTTATTAATTCAATTTATTTTCAGCCTATGGTGGATGCTATAACTGCAATTGGTCCTGGGTATAAAATCCCAACTTATCATAATTTGCGTGTAAATTTATTGAGGGATGCTAGAAAAGAAGTGCAATTACTTGTTGATGGTTACAAGAAAACTTGGGAGGATGTTGGATGTACTTTAATGGCTGATGGTTGGACAGATAGTTCACATAGGTCGCTAATTAATTTTCTAGTGTACTGTCCTAAAGGAGTGTGTTTTGTGAAATCAGTGGATGCTTCAGATGTTGTAAAGGATGCTGCAACATTGTTCAGCTTGTTTGAGGAAATAGCTTTATGGGTTGGACTAAACAATATTGTCCATCTTGTCACTGACAATAGAGCAAATTATAAAGTTGCTGGAAGAATGTTGTCTGAAAAATATAGCAGTACTACTTGGTTTCCTTGTGCAGGCATTAATTTGATGTTGAAAGATATAGCTGAGATGAGTTATATAGTCAACCTTTCGACACGTGCATCTGAGGTTACAAAGTTTGTGTATAATCATTTCTTTGTGCTAGCTTCGTAAGGAAAAAACAGGTTATATACCTTTACCTCATATGTTTATAATTTACATTGTCAAGACATATTTGTATATGTACATTTGTTATTAATTTACTACGTACTAACATCTATTGTTTATCACTTGAATAGGGTTGGACATAAATTATACGACCAGGTGCAACCCGTTTTGCCACAACTTTCATTGCATTGAGCAACCTACATCAGTACAAACATGACTTGTAGTCTACAGTGACAGATAGAACTTTTGTGGAGTCTCAATATGCAAAAACTAATAAAGGCAAAGCCTTTATTTCCATAGTTCTAGATAACCGGTTTTGGGATGACATTGGTATAATTTCCAAAGTTGTGAGTCCATTGATGCGTATGCTCCGGATTGTAGACTTAGATGAGAGGCCTTCAATAGGATATGTGTATGATGGCATGTACCAAACGAGGATGGGGATCAAGAAGCTATTTAAGAACAAGAAAAAATTATACAAGCCTTATACAACAATTATTAAGATGCGCTGGGATAGGATGTTGCGCCGTGATATTCATGCAGCAACATATTATTTGAATCCTGCTTTTAAATATGACGAAGATACTTTTTCCAAAAAATTTGAGGTCATGTATGGTTTCCTTGACACTATTGACAGTAAAGCAAGTGCATTCAAAATGAGCAAGACAACATTACTGGAGGAGAGTAGATTATATAGAGACCGTCTAGAAAGCTTTTCTCATGAGCTTGCTCTTCAAACTTGCAAAACTACATGGCCAGGTATGTAATAATTATTAACTTTTTAAGTCTAATTTTTAAGTTATGAAATTGTGTTTATTTCTTATGTAATTTATACTTTTATTCTCAATTAGATGAATGGTGGAGGACATTTGGGTTTAGTGCTCCAAATTTACAAAAGTTTGCAATCCAAATTCTAAGTCAAACTTCGGCCTCTTTCGGATGTGAGCGAAATTGGAGTGTTTTTGAACGCATTCATACTAAAAAGAGGATTAGATTGGAGCATCCACAGTTGAATGATTTGGTTTTCACTCATTATAACTTGTGTTTACAAAATAGGTATAAAGCCTTCTTCATTTTGTTATTTTCATTGATGTCTTTATTGGTCATGATTTGAACATCTAATTCTCCTATTTCAGGAGTTGTTACAAGAAAATTACAAATGGTCTTATTGATTATGAGAGTATTGATAAAACTGAATGGTGGATAGTTGATGAGGAAGAAGAGGTTGGTGAGCTTAATTATGATGAATTGCAACAATCATTATATGGAGAAGGAGCTATTCCTATAGATGGTGGTGATCACCGTTCTTATTATGACTCAACGGATGCTTCAGAAGGTTGTTTACAATTTTTTAAGCAATTTCAATTTGGTAGTAGCTAGTTTATACTTTATATTCAATTAGTTTAAATGGGAAGATTTAACTTATGGTTTTCCTTTTTTGCTAGAATTTTTTGTAGATGATGTCACTGATCCAGTATTATTCTGACCAAGGACACAGATAATATGGTAAGGCTATCATAGTGTTGAACAACCCTGTCGAAAGGCAGTGACTGATCTCACTTATCAAGGTTGTTTGCCGATAACCTAGTGTAACACATAGGTGCTTGCTAGAGGCAAGTTCACTTGACAGACCCACCAGAGGATTCCATATGGATGGTAACCCCAGTGTCTATGGAATAAATCCTCTAATGGATGGTGGTGCATGTGATCCTTAGACTTGAGATCACCGGAGCGCCTTGTGCATCAATTGGTGTAGTTTGACACTAGCCCAATGTAGTTCTATTCAGAGCTATCAATACGTAGTGATTGGCTACATTGAGAAGCGTATCAAGACAATGGTGGATCGACAAAGGATTCATCACTCCTGGGTACGGGAGAAGTTATCTCACTGGGTAATTCAGTAAATGGCAATGACAGTAAATCTGTGGCCACAGTGGGATTGAGTTGTTGCTCAATCCAATTTGATATTCCTGTCATTGGTCCAGTAACTGAATACAAACATGTCGAGGATATCTGAGGTTGACACTATTTATGTACCTCAGTCTCGATGAGATAACAGTTGATGAAATGATTTGATTGCACGGTAACCATACCATTGATAGGCTACGGTTTCACTGAATCTGAATCTATTGGGTGGCCATGATGCCTTGCTAGGGGCCAATCCTGGTCTGTGTGTAGTGAGACGATTAATTTGTGTTAATCGCAATATTACACATTGCCGATATGATGAGGAGCCTATGAGTCATAGATTTAGAAGATAATTTAAGAATCATTTTTTGAGAAGGGTATTTTCATCTTTCAGGATGAAAAGGTATTATGGTAATCTCGCAGTGCAATTAAATTTGCAGAGGGTTTTGCTTGTATTTAATTTGATATTAAAATTAAATACGTGAGATTATATTTAAATATATGTATGCATATATTTAAATGAATTGTTATTATTAATTAAATGTTAATATATTATTTTATACACACACACACACACACACACACACATATATATATATATATTAATTGATTTTAATTATAATAATAATTAATTAATTTAAAATACCAATTACATGGTGTTTGGTTGCAAGGGTAAGCCTGGGTTGGTGCCCATGGGTATTCCTTATTGGAATAGTGTTTTAATTAGTTGCACTATATAAGTGCAACTTAATTAAAACAAAAATATATTTTTATAAAACAGAACCCTAGCCACCCTATCTGTCCTTCTCTCTCACGTTTTCGCCTTTGAGTGAAAAGAATTTTTTTTTCTTTTCCCTTTGATTGTTCTTGATTCTTGAAGCCGGCAATTATTCTAGCAAAACAATTGTCGGTTCTTCGGATTATCTTCGTGTGGATTTCCGTAAGTGCGATCCTATATTGGATCGATTAGTGAACAGTGTCGATGAACAGTATCTGGTGAACAGTGTTCGTAAGCGAGGTCAAAGATATTCAGAAGAGCCTCCAAACGTCGGTATGAACTAAATCCTTGTATGGATTTGCTTTAAACATATTTTATTTTGTGTTTTAGTTTATGCATGAAAAACGTTATAATCTCTACTTAGATCTTGGTTCGAGTAAGTGATCGTTTTGTTTTTAATATTATGCATGTTCCGCTGTGTGAACCTGATCACTTACTTACAGGTGCCCTAGAGCCAATCCTATCTATATAGTGATTCTTTGTAAAATTAGTTTAATTATAATAAAAGACATATTTTCTATATCAAATTGTTCACTTATATTTTGTGCATTGATATATGCCCTTAGAACGGTAGATCTATGACAAGGGTATCAAGTCTTTTAAATTTTTATTGTCAGAACTGTTAGAGTAAGTGCCCTAGAGCCAACCCATTATTGTAATATTGACTCTTTGTACGAATGTTTATAATTAATAAAAGACATTTTTCTATATCGTGTAATTCGTATTCGTTATATATTGTGATGCATGTCCTTAGAATGGTAGAACCATGACGAGGGTGTCGAGTGTTTCAAATCTCGATAATGAGGACCTATGATTATAGATGGTGGCCATTCTAGAAATGTCCGTAGCTCTAGTATTATTTTGACTAAGGACATTGATAATATGGTAAGGCTATTATAGTATTGAACAACTCTATCGAAAGGTAGTGACTGATCTCACTTGTCAAGGTTGTTTGTTGACAACCTGGTGCAACACATGGTTGCTTGCTATAGGCAGGTTCATCAGACAGACCCACCAAAGGATTTCACATATATAGTAACCCAGTGTCTGTGGAAAAAAATCCTCTAATGAATGGTGGTGCATATGATCCTTAGACTTGAGATCACCGGAGCGCCTTGTGTACCAATTAGTGTAGTTTGACACTAGCCCAACGTAGTTTTATTTAGGACTATCAGAACAAGAGTGGTTGGCTACATCAAGAAGTGTATCAAGACTATGATGGATGAACAGAGGATTCATCACTCCCGGGTACGGGAGTGATTATCTCATTGAGCAATTCGGTGAATGGCAACGACACTAAATCTATGGCCATAGTGGGATTGAATTGTATCTCAATCCAATCTATTCTAGTCATTGGTCCAATAATCGAATACAAAGAGATCAAGGATATCTGAGGTTGACACTACTTATGTACCACAACTTTGATGAGATAATGAATGAAGAAAGGATTTGATTACACGATAACTATATCGTTGATAGATAGTTGTTTTGCTAAATCTGAATCTATTGGGTGGCCATGATGCCTTGTTAGTGGCTTATCTTGGTCTGTGTTTAATGAGACGATTAGTTGAGTGTCAATCGCGATACTACTTACTACTGATATGATGAGGATCTTCCGGGTCACACACATAGAAGACAGATAAATGATAAATAAGTGAGAAGGGTATTTTCATCTTTTAAGATAAAATGGTATTTTGGTAATCTCACAGTGCAATTAGATTTGTTGAGGTCATTGCCTATATTTAATTTCATATGGAAATTAAACCCTAGCCACCCTTTTTCTCTCTCTCTAAAACTGTGAGCCCTCATTGTTGGAGAAGAGAACTTTTCTGAGGAAAATTTCTACATTCTTGTTCTTGAACCAATCAGTTTAGCTAGCACATAAACCTATTGGTGATCGTTGTCCTGCCTTCATGTGGATACAGCTTGTGCATTTCCTTCATTGAAATCAATTGAAAGAGCCTCCAAATATTGGTATGAAATTATATTTATGCTTTAATATAATTATATGTATGAACGATGTAAATCGGTATAAGGATCATTGGGTTCAAGGTTTATGGATCAAATAATTTTTGTATTCCATTGTGAAAATCTAATATGTGAACCTACAGTGGTATCAAAGCCTCTTATACTTGATTACATCGTTTTAATTATCGTTTGGATGAATTGGTTTCGATAATTGTTGATTAGGGTTTTAACATGTTGATTAAATTAGAAAAATTGTTAAATGTATGTTTGGTTAATGTGCTGTGTATATAATGGCATCTGAAATATTTTATGATTGATCAAAATCAAATAAAACTTGATTTCAGTTTGTAGAGTGCATTGTCACGAAGGGTACTGCATTGCCACGCACGGTTACAGCAACAACGTGCGTTTGTGCACTAGTGCTGGGCAGTGCGCACATTGCAGTTACGCGCTACCATGCATGGGGGATCTATGGCCACATGCTCGGCATGCAGCCTTGGTTTGTGCTGTCGCAAACGACACAGCAGCAGTTTGCACCAAGGCTGCTGTTGTGCTGCTATTGTCCTCCCTGAAATCTATCGTGTGTGGCTGCCTCATGATGGCCATGTGCTCCTCGTACGTGGCCTTGATCAGCATTAGGTTTTTCAGCCAAATGCTTGATCTGGTGCACGTTAAAGAGCATACCATATCTGGAAATTTTGGGCAACCCACTTAATGATGTAATGGGCTAAATTTTTGGCTGTTTTTGCATTATTATGTTTTGATATTAATTTGTAAATTTCTATTGCATGTTAGAAATATTCTGGAGGCCCAATTGAGTGAGGTTTGATGATAAGGGACTAAAATGAAAATTTTAAAACTTGTTGGACTTAAATGTGACACTGCTAAACATCAAGGGGTAACCATAATTTTACAAACCCAATCAAAATTTAATTTTGATTTGTTTTATGCATCTTAATTTTTGTAAATATGCATGGTGTTTGGTGTATAAGCCTATGAACCTAGTTTAAGATTTATTTGGATTATGTAATTTTAAAATAGGGCTTGTGTGCCCTGCCTTTCTCTATACTCTTCGATGTAACTTTTCTCTCTCATCTCACTCCCCTCGAATGTAACTCGAGGTTTCTTTTCAATTATGTAAAATTAGAATGTAATTTTATTTTGAAAGTTGTGTAATGTTTGAGAAGAAGAAGCGATGGAATGAAGAAGGTGAATTGCTTGAAGAATTCATTTATTCTCTTTTAATTAGGTTGACTTACCGATTCCTCTAGGCTCAAGTAAATCGGTTTTAGTTAAGGCTATGCACCAACACATTTCCTTTATGCTTAGTATGTATGCTAAGGGTGTATGTTATGACTATAACATACTAATAAAGATAAAATTGGCGAGACATCAAATAAAAACCCCTCAACAAAAGTATATTAAGTCATTCAATTAAAAAAGGCCTTCCATCACCATAAGTTTGATCAAGTCGCTGTTCGTTGGAACCTTGTTCACTAAAGCGAAGGGTACACTTTTACTAGTGGGAGGTTAAACTTCATTGGAGTTTTCCCTAATGATGATGCATTGACTTAAATGATGTGTTTTCCTTGTTTACCAAAGCGAAGGTTAATAAACACGTCATAGGCATAGTAGAGAAGTACACTAGTTATGTGTATGTGGTGACCTGTAGTGTCTACTCTACTGATACTGAGAATTACAATTGAGGACAATGGTTTAGGCCATTGAATTATGTAATTGGTTTGTTGGCGTATTTTGCATTTGAGGTTGGTAGTTGGAGCTATCGATTGGTGTGAATTAAGTTTGTTGACCTACCTAATTAACCCATTTTGGCTTGTTTGCTAAAGTAAAGGTTTGAAATGGGCTAGATGAGATCTCAGTCCATTAGGATAGCCTACAGGCTTTCCTGGGTTAATAGTGAGGGCTATTAGATTGAGTAAAATAGTGGGAGCAATTATTTAATGAAAGACCTTATTAAATAACAATAAACATTATTATAATACTTGTTTTTCTGCATTTGTAGATTAATTAAAATGAGCAATAGTAACCTATCACTACGACCGATAATCAAGAAAGACAATAGGTTGGATGGATCCAATTTCTTAGACTGGTATGAAAATCTTCGGATTGTACTTAAGTCCGAAAAGATATTGTACATCCTTGATAAGCCTTTTCCAACTGAGCCTAAACTTGTTGCCACCTAGGAAGCAAAGGATACCTATCAAAGGTTCCTTGATGATGCTGATCATGTTCAATGCATCATGTCAGCATTAATGACATATGAGCTACAAAAGCAGTATGAGAATATGGATGCACATGCCATAATTCTGCACCTCAAGGAGTTATATCAAAAGAATGCTCGACATGAGAAGTACCAGGTGTCAAAGGCAATGTTTAGGAGTCGAATGGCTGAGGGAGCCCAAGTTGGCCCTCATGTGCTCAGGATGATTGGGTACATAGAGAGGCTTGAGACTTTGGGTTTTGGTGTAGATGCAGAATTGCATTATGACTTAATTCTGCAATCATTACTTGACTCTTATTCACCATTCACAATGAATTTCAATATGAACACAATGGTGAAGTCTATTTCAAAGCTCCTAAATATGCTGAGGATTGCAAAGCAGGACCTGAAGAAGTCCAAACCCGTTTTACTAGTTGTTGCTGGTGAAGGAAAGGGTAAGAGTAAGGGAAAGACCAAGGTCTATCCCAAGTCCAAACCCAAAGCACAGGATGCTCTTAAGTCTGAGGGTAGGTTAGCATTTTGGATGTGAAACTCTCAACCCATGACAAGTGGTATTAGAGCCGACCCCAATCTATCTTTCGGTGTCCTGCCAAACGCCCACACAAAGGGGCATCCATGTGTGATTGTAGGTCTACTCAAAGATAAGGTGGATGGGTAGGTGGGGGACTTTACCTGCGACGGGGGCATCATAGGATTGGGTGGGGGAGTCATGGATGCCACATCGGAAGGGAATTTTTTTGGGGGGGGGGGGGGGGGGGGGGGGGGGGGGGGGGGGGGGGGGGGTGTCTTGGGTTTATAAAGGGGAGAGTCCCTCCACCTAATAGGTTAGCCTTTTGGTCCCAACACCTTGGCAGCTTATATGGGGAGCTGCCCCTTAGCTTTTAAGTTCACTAAGGAGTGGCAAAACCAACAGGAGTTGGCACGCACTTATTTAAACAAAACAGCCAAGAAGATAAAGAAATGGGTAGATTCAAAGAGGCGACACATTGATTCAAAATGGGAGATCTTGTCATGGTCAAGCTACTTCCCGTGCAACATAAGTTTTTACGTTCATTGCACAATAACCTTTTAGGGAAGTATGAAGGACCATTTCTTGTCCCCAAGAGAGTAGACAAGGTGTTAAAGGTGGAAAAGTAACCTGCCCGGCCCGACCCGCGGCGGGTTACATTCTTTGGCGGGCCGGGCCTAACCCACCCGCCAACAAACCCGGCCCGCCAATTTGGGAAAAATGGCTGGCCCAGCCCGGCCTGCCAACCCTAACCCGCCGGGTTAGGCACGGTCCGGGCTGGGTTAGCCCGATTTTCTTTTTTTTTTTTTTTTGTTTTTTTAATTTAACTTTTCAAATAAATAATTATAAATATAATTGTTTTTAGTTAACTTTTCAAATATCAATAATTCAATTCAATTCAATTTTTTTTTGTTAACATTTCAAATATCAATTCAATTTTAATACAATAAAATTGTAATATAAGAAAAATTAGACTTATTCATTTATCAAAAAATAAAATAAGAAATTACAATAATTATTGCCTCGTTAAAAACCTCACCAAGAAAAACTCAATGGGAGAAAAACTTGGTCAAGAAAAAAGAGTACAATAATTGACAATTAATTTACAAATTACATTTTACAAAACAACTAATTTGGGGTGGTTCACTAGGACCTCCCTCATCTGTATCATCTATATTACAAAATTGAAATGATTCTACTAAAGTATTGTCGATAACCTCGTATTGATCTTGATGGCACGATCGTTCCCAATCTCAAAGACATGTGAGGACTTCAATCATTTTTGGAGCAAGTTTAGTCCTCCTTTCATTTAAAATCCTTCCACTTGCACTAAATGTTTGTTCGGATGAGACGGTTGAGACAGGAACAGCGAAAACATCCAAGGCAAGTCTTGATAATACCGGAAAAATACATTTTCTGGCTCTCCAATACTCTAAGAGATCAAAGTGACCTGTTGAAAACATTTCGGGGGTTGCCAAATATTGTTGAAGTTCATTACTCTGCGACTCCATGGAGGACAGCATATTAGTTGTTGTTGTTGTTGGTGGTGGTGCTTCTGAAGAGGAGGCTGTGCTTCGGACTCGGGTCCTCTTCGGCCTATTCAGTGCATTCCAAGAGTGTATAAGTCTCATTTGTTGTTTCTCTGCTACAGCTTCTCTGGATATTTCGCCTCTTTGCAACTGCGGGTTCCCATACCTGTTTTCATATTGGAAATATACTTCGAAAAGACTATTTTACCTCTCCTATTTGATTGACATATGATTCGGTTTGTAAATTCACTTTAATTGTCAAAACCATTTCTAAACGTGCTAATTTAATTCTAGGATCAAATATAGCACCTAAACATAAAGAAAAGGAATGGGTTCCCAATATTTCAAAAAAAAAATTTCCATTGCTTTATTGGTGCATGTAAAATTCATTGTCTCTGTTTTTTGTAAATACTCAGAAATTTTTATAATTGTATGTATTACCAATGGACTAGTAGGATATACACACCAGAAAGTTGTAAAGTGGATTGGTAAAAACATTTGAGAAAAGATGAATAACTTTAGCTATCTTCCAATCATTTTCTACCAAATAATGAGGACCTCTATTATTTGCTACAAAATAACTAATTATATTAGCATAAGGTAAATGAATCAGCATTAAATAAGTACTATTCCATCTAACAGGCATATCTAATGCAAAAGTTCTAGGAGACATATTTGTTTTATACAAGCTTCTTGAAATTCAGCATTTCTTTTATTACTACCATTAATCCAAGCTAAAGATTCCCTAATTCTATCAATATTTTGTTTAATTATTTTCATACCACTTTTCACATTAAATAATAAAATGACATGCACAATGGTGGGGAAAAAACTTCAAATTGTAATAAAAGATATTATTTTGAAAAAATTCTATAGCTTTACTATTAGAACTTGTATTATCTAAAGTTAAACTTATCACTTTATCAATAGTATCATAATCTTCTAAAACTTCAACAATTTTATTATAGATTTCTAAACCACTATGATCCACATCCATTAATCTAAATCCTAATAAAGATTTATTTAATTTAAATTCATTATCAAAATAATGACTAGTCACACAAATATAATCTTGTTTAGCTCTATCACTCCAAATATGGCAGTTAAGCCACACTAATATGACAGTATGAAATTTATTTTTTAATTTAATTTCATTTTTTCAAACAATTTTATAAATCATTTCTAGTTGCAGTTTTAGAATAACTTTTAAATCCTGGAAAAAATGAAATTTGAACAAATCTTTCAAAATATTTATCTTCTGCCATATAATAGGTTGCTCAGATGCAGCAATATATAAAGCTAACTGTTCCCTATATACATCAGAATTATAACGCCAAATATACCCATATTAGTTATTTGAGTTTGATTGCTTTTCTATTTCCATGTTGATTAATATGTTTATTAGCTGCCTTTTTAAAGTACTAGTACCATTACCTGAATCAGCTTTATAAACATTTGCACAATATTTGCATTTGCTTTCTTGACTTGAACGCCATTTTTTGTCTCGTAAAACTTGTCGAAATGCGCCCAAACATCTGATGTGTGTCTGTTTCGCTTTCGACGGCAGTTGATGATCTCGCCTCAGCTTGAGATGAAGTTGGACGAGGACGACGATTACGAGGACGACTTCTAGAACCACCGAGAGCTGTTGGAATCGACGGCATATTTTGAGGTGTATCGGATTCTGAGACTGGGATTGGGACAGCGGGACTATTTGAATCTCCTGCATTTATAGTAAAATCAGCGGGACTAGGACTAGGATAATAGTTTTCTTCATCATTGAAATTGATGGGAGATAAATATCTATCCATTGTAGACTTGTAGTTGAAAAAAAATTGATGTAGAAGAAATAAAAATTAAGAAAGAGAATTGGAATATGGAAATTGGAAATTTGGAATTTGAAAATTGGAAATAGATTGAAAATTGCAAAAACTAATAAAAATTAAAATAAGCAAATTGATAACAAAAAGATTAAGAGAATAATGAATAATTGAGAGAATAGAGATAGAAAATATGCAGAGAATGAGAGAATTTGAGTTGTGAGAAAAATATGAGAGTTTAGGGCCAATTTATAGAAAAAAATGGGGAAAGAAAATGACGAAAAAGACCCCTCCAACAGCTATAAAACGGCTATATTTCAAGGGTAAAAGGGTAATTGAAAAAAATAAATAAATTTTACATTTTTTTTAATTTTTTTTTGGCCAACCCGCCTGCAACCCGCCAGGTTGTGGTCCTCTTGCAGAGAGGACAAAATAGCAACCCGTGGGCCGCTGGGTTGCCATTTTGCAACCCGGCCCACCCGAGGGTTGCTGGCGGGTTGAACCCTATTCATTACGGGCCGGGTTAGTGTTGACCCGCCTAACCCGGCCCATTTTTTCCACCTCTACAAGGCGTCATACCGCTTGGAGCTTCCACCAAAGATGAAGATTCATCCAGTCTTCCACGTGAACAATTTAAAGCCATAACATCCAGATGTAGAAGACCCCACCCAAGGATAATCATGTAGAGCACCACCAATCACTTCCACTTCATTTGATAAAGAGGTAGAATCCGTTCTAGCAGACCGAGAAGTAAGAAGGAGCGGTGTGCCAAAATACCGAGAATACTTCATCTAATGGAAAGGCTTGCCCGAAAGTGAATCAAGTTGGGAATCCAAGGACTCGTTGTGGCAATTCAAGGATCACATCAACCACTACGAGGAGGAAGTGACGAGAATCACCAAATTAGGTGGGGAGGATGTCATGGGCCACTTGAAAGACAAGGACAAATTGGCCCAAAAAAGCCTAACAAGTCCAACAAAGCCCAAAAATTCTTCTACACATACAAGTTGCATCGAAGCTTCATTGCAAGCTATATGCCAACCATATGCCAACTTGCATGCCAACTTATGGCCAACTAGTGTGACAACTCATGGCCAACTAATGTGACAACTCATGGCCAAATTAGCCTATAAATAAGGCCATTCACCTCATTTGTAAATCATTCACCACAATCTTGTAGAGATACTCAATACATAGAGTTTTATGCTTTTTTTCTATATTTCTCTCTTGCTCTTTGTAATTTAAAGTTTTCGCTTGAGTTAGGTTGAACTAGTACTCATCCATCACATAGATTTGGGTACTAGTGCCGCACAGGTTTTTAACTAAACTCATCACGTGACATGTGGTATCAGAGCAAGTTTTGCACATCATCATGTCAAAAATTGGCGATCCAAACCGTGGCCATGAGGGAGTGCCACCACAAGAACCATCCACCAAAAAGAGAAGCAAGAGCCAAACACGGACTAAAGACACCACTACTCTTGAGGCATGTGCTAATTCCTTGAAGGGGAGATTCCAAACGTTGGGGGGAGCCATGGAGGATATTCAAGTTCATGTGGGCAAGAGTACGACAATAAAGGAGGACCTTGACAAAGCAAAAGATACGCTTAGAGGTGAGTTGTCCCTTACTCTAACTGAACTTAAGATTTCCATTTTAAGGGAAGTGCATGCC